AAAGGATAAATTTGGGGCAACACAATAATAAATGCAAATAAATGAGGTCAAATTGAATAAAAAAAAAACAAAGGCCCCATATATAAAAATGAAAAGGCTATGGGGATTTTACCTTTTTGCGGCCTTTACCTTTTTGCGGCCAGTGGCTCTCTCTGCTTTCAAATTGGTTTTCCATTTTGTTCACCATTAACTCCTCGTACTCTCCGTTCTTCTTCTTCGCCTTCCTCCTCTCTTTCACACACGCACACACTCAACACCAGTTTCCGTATATAGACACACACAGATATATATAAACCATCGAAACGCGAGTTACATCTTGCACAAAGTAACCAACTTTTCTCATTTTCCTTCTCGAAAACGGGTAAAGGAGAATTGGAGATAAGATAATACAACAGTCCCTGAATTTCAAGAAGAGGATATCGATTTCTCTTAATTTTCCTTTGTTTTCCCCTTTCAATTTTGCTTCCTTCGTTCTGCAATTGAGGTGCTTCATCTTTTAGTTTTTCGCTTATGTAATGCATCAGAAAAAATCTGAAGTACAGATCGGAACAGAAAGCAGCGGCGTCTCTTCCGATTTCAACCCGACCCCACCTCTCCCGCCGTCTTCGCTTACCCAGAAACACCCACACCTTTCCCAAAATTCCCATCCTTGTCCGCCTCCTCCGTCCGGCCTCAACCCCTCCCTTCAGATCCTCATCAACGAAGAGAACCAGCAGCAGCTGGACCAGAATGACCCTTTTGCCCTCAAGCCGCCGACCCCTTTCAAGCGACCCCATCTCCAGCAGCAATTCTCCAGTTCCCTTCCCAAGACGCCGACTTTATCCAATGCCCTCCATAGATACAGCGGCCTTCCCTCACCAAATCCACCTCCAAAATTCAATATTTTCTACAATCGGTCGCAGAAATTCTTGACCCATTTCCACCACCACCTCCGCCACTTGCGCCGCCGCCTTCGTGTCCACCTCCGCCTCATCCTTCTACTCAGCCTTCCGTTCTTCTACTTTCTGGTCTCTCACCCATCCAGCTCTTTCTTGCTTGATTTCCTGTCTGCTTTTGCCTTCTCGGCCGTGCTTTTGTTCTCTTTGAACTTGGCCATCCCACGGCTTCCCACTATAAGGTTGTTCCTTTCCAGGTCATTGCCGATCAAGGTTAGTGCAAAGGATCACGCGAGCCGGCCACATTTGCCGGTGTTTTGGTCTATTGGGTCTCGTCAGAAGGCGGATAAGAAAGTGATCTCAGGGTGTTATGTACAGGCGTATAGCAATGGGGATGTGTACGAGGGTGAGTTTCATAAGGGGAAATGTAGTGGGAGTGGGGTGTATTACTATTATATGAGTGGTAGGTATGAAGGGGATTGGGTGGATGGTAAGTATGATGGATTCGGGGTTGAAACGTGGGCAAGGGGTAGCCGATATAGAGGACAATATAGGCAGGGTCTTAGGCATGGTTTTGGGGTTTATCGGTTTTATACAGGGGATGTTTATGCTGGGGAATGGTCTAGTGGACAGAGCCATGGTTGTGGGATCCACACCTGCGAGGATGGAAGTCGATATGTGGGAGAGTTTAAGTGGGGTGTTAAACATGGTCTCGGGCACTACCACTTCAGGTAATAGTCATGTTGATTTCTTCATATCCTTTGCCAATTGCCACATTTGATTCATGTTGCATTAAAGTTTATGTTATTGTCGTTTGGTACCACGAATAGTTGTTTAGTTAGCAACTATGGAGCTGTTGGTATCATTGAGTGCATTTGAGTCTATTATGTTAGTTTAAGATTGACACTTAGCATTATGTTTATTAATGGCACAAGCAGTTATCCAACCATGATACATAGGAAGTAATGTGCATCTTTATTTTATCATTGTACAGGGAGTACTTCAAGAATCTGTTATTCATAGACATTGATATCTTACAATATCCTTGTGTCTGTGGTCTACCTTATGGAGATAACTTGCCTCACTTGTGCTTTAGCTGTTTATATTATTCTGTGAAGCCTAGGTGTTTAGGTGGGTAGAAGTCGAAATGTGTGGTAGTAGTAGTGCCTTTGGTTTTATTTTACAGTTTGTTCTTTGTTGTATACATGGTATGAGGTTGAATGTTCTGCAGCTGCAAACTTTAGCAGGTAATCATGTCTTGAGTTGCTTAGTTAGTAACAATTAATAGTTTACTGATGATTTAATCCGTAGAGTAATTCTAAAATATTTGGATTATGCTACTGACTCTGTAATTGCTGCCTATAGGAATGGGGACAGATATGCTGGAGAATATTTTGCTGATAAAATGCACGGATTTGGAGTGTATTATTTTGCAAATGGACACCGTTATGAAGGGGCATGGCATGAAGGTAGAAGACAGGGACTTGGGATGTACACTTTCAGAAATGGTGAAACGCAATCTGGTCATTGGCAAAATGGAATTCTTGATGTCCCAAGCACACAGGGCACTGTCTTTCCTGTTTCTCCTGTTGCTGTCAACCACTCCAAAGTGCTTAATGGAGTACAGGTAAACTCTTCACATTTACATATTTTTTTGTTAACATCTGTGCCTGATTCTTACAGAGTTTTGTCCGTTAGCACATATGTGTAAAAGGGTTTTTACTAACTTCTGTAGTTCCGTACTTATCTAACAAATACCAGATCATTGATGGTGCAATTTGTAAAAATGTCAGAAGGGTATTGTAATTTTGAAACAAAAATTTTCCTTCAAAATATCGTTCGCAAAGAGTTTTGATTAATAGCTCTATACTTGTATGTATAGTTTACCTTCTCTAATATACTATGAAAAGTAATTTCAGAGATTTGCCTGGTGATTTCCAACATTCGGACAGATTTCATTCAGCTAGTAGCTGCAATTTAGTTTTGAATGTGTTTACTCTGAATAAGTGGCATCTCCACTTTTTAATGGGTTAATTTATTCACCATGTTACGTATCAAATTAAACTACTTGGTTGCAAGATTTTCCACTTGCCTGCTACCACATGTTAGATGCAACCTGTATTGTTGTGTGTTCTTGTCTTGTCTCAATATTTTCCTTCCTTTAGGTGAATGATTTTCTTCAGAAATTCTACTATTCTTGCGTCGTCCATGTGAGGATTTGTATTAGAGCTTTGGTGACACGAGCTAGTTTAATGTCCCTGTTCAGCAGTCATTTTGATCTGATTTTAATGTCCACCGACAAAGTTTGGACTTCTCATTTCTTTTGTTAAAAGATGTATGATAGAAAATGCTTAGCAACCTGTTCCTGATTAAACTGATTTGGCAGGCCAACTGTAATTCTGATAAGAATAAGCACAAAAAAATGTTTTGCTGATTAATAAGCATGGAACTGGTTATATTTCAGTTTATCCCATGAATTGCAGAATTTTTCTGGTGTGGCATGCTAATTTATTTTTATTTTCATTGTTAAATAGTTCAATATATTATTCGACTAAGTTACTGTAGAATATGAGATGTTTCTGCTCGACCTGTATGGTCTCTGAAGCAATTGCTTTCTGTGATTTTACCAGGAAGCTCGACGGGCGGCAGAGAAAGCATATGAGGTGGCAAAGGTGGATGAGAGAGTCAACAGAGCAGTTGCAGCCGCCAACCGATCCGCTAATGCTGCCAGAGTTGCGGCTGTGAAGGCCGTGCAAAAGCAAATGCATCACAGAACCAATAGTGACGATATCCCAACTCCTGTTGTGCGATAATGCTTGCAAATTGAATACCAAAATCCAATAGCAGAAAGAGAGATGTTTGCAGCTATGTGCATTGCAAATTGAATACTACCAAAATCCAATAGCAGAAAGAGAGATGTTTGCAGCTTTCCAGCACATAGTGCCTTCAATCTTGAGTCTTTTCATATAGCGTAGCGCGGTTTTATGCGGAAGCTGATTTTTCGAGCAGCCATGCTACAACCTCCTTGCTAAAGCCTTATGTTTTACTTTTTTTGTTTTTTTTTTTTCTTTAATGGTTGATGTAAAGTTTGAAATAGGTATATGAACTAATGCTGGTAGCCAGGGAAATTCCTAACCCCATCCAGCACTCCTTGTATGTGAAGAAATTTTTATGACTTGTAAGAAACTCAGCTGAGATTATGTAATGTTAACTAATATATCATGTAAATTTGATTATAAAACGTGCTTAATTAATACATGAAATTACAATTACAATTGCGTGATTTAAATGTTGAATAATACATGTGATATTGAAATTGTCGCTGCTAATTGGATTGTTAAATGCATCTTCCTGAATTTAGCTTAGTATACAATTCTTGAAACAAACTAAAAATGTAGAAACAGGCAATAGAATAACACATCTTGATAACAAAAAAGATAAAACCGCTACTTTCAGCAAAACAGGCATGCAAAACTGGAGAACTCTCAAACAACTTTGGGCTTCATATTTTAAGGTATCTCAATAAAAAAAATCCGAATGCAGAACACAAAAGATTGGCCAATAATCTCAAAAGTCACTAAAGGGTTACTCAAAACATAAATAACAACTCAAAAAGGATCAACTTGACAAGAACAAAATTCACTAAATTTAGTTCTCAGTTTGCTCCCTTAGCCTTCGGATGGTGCTTCTCACTGTGACGGCACTGGCGGTGCTGCAAACACACAACACGTGACGCTCATTTAAACTAAGAAAATATCCATGATAAAATGGAGGGGTCATTGAGAAAGAAAGATGATTACTTCAAAGTGTAGGCACCACCAGCTTTCACTTTGCCACAGTCCTTGCATCCCCAAATGCCGACAGCCTTCCTCTTCACTGCATACTGTAATAAACAGTCCATTCAGAAAATACAAAACAACAAATCTTATCACAAAATGAGGCTATACTCCATTGTCCCATACCTTGCCGCAAAATTCACAGAAGTACTTGCTGTGCTGGCTGACTTCCATCTTCTTAATCTGCTTCCTCAAACTAGCACCATAACGGGTGCCTAAAATGTAAGGAGAAGCACCAGAAACAGGCTTGTTAAGTACAGGAAATCAATGTCAATCCAACATGGAACAAATACTGACGCCCCATATTGTTAAAAAACAACTGACAACACAATGTTTCTCAAGTCATATAAGACAAGATGAAAATTATAAACTAAATAACTGGTGTAGAATTATTATTATTATTATTATTATTATTATTATTATTATTATTATTATTATTATTATTTAATAATTAGTAGTTAGCTTAGAGAACAAGTTAGAGTTATTAGTTTTGAGAGTCTTATATAAAGGACTCTCCTGCTATATTGTTACTTGGTGAATTTTGAGATTGAATCTGAGTTTTGTGTGTCTTACGAGAGAGTATTCTTTCCCACTCGCACGCTTCCCTACATCAGTTGATATCAGAAGTCAGCACGATTCAAGATGCCGCCGCGAAAGGACGACATCAACGGGCGTGACACCACCATTGAATATCTGGGTCGACGAGCCACGGGCTTCGACTGCCAGATCAATCAATTGGAACGTTGGGTTGATGATCTTTCGATGGGGATCAAAGAAGTGCGTCTTACGATCAACAACCTGGTTGAGGAGTTGCAGACAAACCGTGACGCCGGCAATCGGGGCGTGCGCGGGGGTGTTCGCGGAGGACGTGGAGGCCGTGGTCCAGGCGGGTCGCTCCGCTGGAGATCTCCACAACCACCGTCCGGTGACGAAGACGGCGAGAAGGCAATCTCGGAGGTGAATCCCTTTGGCGATTATCCACCCCTGCACGTCGAGGCTGACCCCTTCGCAGTATACGGCGGCCATGACATGCGACGACGGGCCCGGTCTTCGTGGACGGCGACGATCAACGCGGCGACAGAGGCAGGCGCGAGGAGGCTGCCTTCGCCAGCGGATATCGTGCCCGACACGATTGAGAATTTGATCGCGAATATGGTCGATGGGAGGGCCCGTTTCGCATTGACATCCCAGAATTCGAAGGAGAGCAATTTGACGGGCCATTGTACGATGGTCCGCCGGTGCTTGATGAAGAACCCGAGGAGGTTGAGGAGCATCTTACCGGCGAAGAGGACGGTCTCTACGACGGTCCGCCGATTTTCGATGAGGAGCCTCCGGAACCGGAGGAATTCCATCATGTTTTGAGTATCAAACTTCAGCTGTTGGAAGAATTGGTATTTCTTTTGTTGCACAGGCCCGAGCTTTTCTTTCACGGGAATTTGTTGCGGCCTTGCAAACAGATGCTGTTTTTTGGTCACTACGGTGACTTCAAAATTCTGTGTGTGGCTACTGCATATATGCCTTTCTATGAATTTCAAGGGGGTGATACCATGGAGGTGCGACATTCAACCTTCATGTTCGACAGGAGAAAACGACGGGGATTATTACGATGGGCCTCCACACCAGCCACGGGAGGAGCGCGTCGACTTCGAGGGCGAAGCCTTCCGAACCGGGAGAAAATGGTGTAGAATAATAATAATAATAATAATTATTATTATTATTATTATTATTTAATAATTAGTAGTTAGCTTAGAGAACAAGTTAGGGTTATTAATTTTGAGAGTCTTATATAAAGGACTCTCCTGCTTTATTGTTACTTGGTGAATTTTGAGATTGAATCAAATATTGTGAGTTTTGTGTGTTTTACGAGAGAGTATCTCGTTTATTCTTTTCCAGTCGCACGCTTTCCTACATCAATAACTAATAACTGAACTGATCATTTCTCTGTTATAAAGAAACAATATGTCACAAGATGATCAAAAGGGAAGAATTATAAGAACCATCCTACATCAATAACTAATAACTGAACTGATCATTTCTCTGTTATAAAGAAACAATATGTCACAAGATGATCAAAAGGGAAGAATTATAAGAACCATAAAACTGTCTGCTTACCATATTTCCCAACAATACCAACCTTCTTGGTTCTCTTGGCCTGCAAATAATGAAATGCTCCATTAATTACACAGGATTGAAAAGAGAAAAAGAAAAACACATACACATTACAAGCATTCCTAAATAATCAACAACCCAATCTTGTGAACCTTAAAAAGTGGCAGCTGAGGTTATCACCATACACCAAAAAGGGAATTTAGCAAGCAAAAGCTTCACATCCAGCAAAACAGACTTCTAAACAAGATAAACTAGTGTACGTAAAAATTGATTCGCTTAGCTTATCAGTGAAGATTTCTTCAGCTATGTTAGATCTAAAATCTAGTAGACGGCTGGAATATATCCATAGCTGGGTACAAATATAAATCACCATAAATCTGATCCATGAAAAAAATAAATCCACATTTTAATTTCCGAAAAAAAAAAGCTAATACAAATATACATGACAACCAATTTCCACATCAACGCCAGTGTCACCAACCTATGGCTGATTCAATACTACAGCAGAACAGGGAAATGGCAAAAGCCTCAGTGTTTAGCCCAAAATTCTTCAGATAATACGAGAAAGATTGAGTTAATCACAATGCGAGTGTCATAGTACACAGTAAAACAGAGATAAGTGTGTGAGATAGAGAGAGAAGGAATACCATCGGAAATGAGTGCTAGCAGGCGGCGCGTCGAGGCTGCAGCTTAGTAAACCCTAGTTTCAGCTCAGGAGCAAGACCGCCAGATGTTGCAGGTGTTTTATAGCAGGAGCTGTAGTATCGAAAATTTCACTTACCTCCGTCAAGTTCTTGCGTATTACAAATACACCCTCATGGTTTGCTACTAAACCAACAGTTGGCTCATAGTTGAGTCAACCTTCCATATACAACAAGTAAACCATACCAACTATGGATTAATGAGAAATGCTATGGAGTCAATGGAGCCAACCACCAATGTTATAGTACCACGTAGGCCATTTGGAGTTAATTATTTTTTCACATGGCCTACGTGACATTATAACATTGGTGATTGGCTCCATAGCATTCCTCATTGATTAATATAAGAATATGGTATAATTTACTTGTTACATAGAAGATTGGCACCACTATGGAGTCAACTGTTGTCTTCATAGCAAAACCTTACACCCTCAAGGCCAAGTAGATGGTCTTAATAAACGAATAAAAATTTGGTGCTAAATTAACATATTATGCTTTGGAATTCACTCATTCACTATTCACCGTCCCCCTATTACTACTCACCCCCCTCCTTTTTACTCTTTTGCTCTTTCTCTCTATCTCTCTAAATTCTCGAACTTTCAACGAGTCATTCGAGCTTCCAAAAAATTCCGAAAAAATGTAGAAAAAATCTTACGGCATGGGAAAGGATTCTTCTTCAGCAAAATAATTTTTTTTTGAAAATTATTTTTAAAATTTATTTTTATAAAACTGTTGTCGCGTCCGGTCGTCGCCTCCGGACGAGGCGGGGCCGTCCGGTCGGCCGGTCCGGACGGCCCAAAAACCGTTCGGCCCCGGCAGCCGTACGTCTTCCCACCTGGTCGTCTTGGGTGGCCGGAAGCTCGTCCGGCCCTGCCGACCGATCAAGAGCCGGCCGAACATTATTTTTTTTCTATAATAATAAATTATAATTATAAATATAATAGGTTATAATAAATAATAATTATAATTTAATTATAATGAAAAATTATAAATTATAATAACTAGTACGGTGCCCGTGCAATGCACGGGAGCATTTATTATATATATATTTTTTAAAAGATATTTTTGTATTTAAGTTGCCTCATGCCATTAAAAATTTCATGAAAATGAAATTTATATGTTATTAAACACTTCCTTATGTACAACATTATTGATTTGATTCTTTGTCACGTAAAGTACTACATAGGTGTTCGAATTTATTCAAAATTGCATATTTCTAGTTATTAGTTAACAAATTTTAAAAAAATTAAAGGATCTTATTTATTAAACAAAATTAAAGTAGAAAAAAAAGTAAATGTTTTTAGGGATTTTCACCCATTATTTATTTTAAATCTAATTCTATATTTCAATTAAGAAAAATTAAAAAAATCATTAGTTAGTCCCGAAAATGAAACCGATTTTTCTATCAATAAACTGATTTATTTATCAAACAAATTGATCCGAATTTTTTTTAAACCAAATAAAAAAATCATCAATTTTTCCTAAAAAAGCAACTAAATTTTCCTAACATTGCACCAATTTTTGTACCAAACAAATTGAATTGAAAATAATTCTAATAAAAAATTGAAATAAATTGTTAATGTTTATGCAACTGTCTCTTTCCTAAAGAAAATGATATGAACTTAACCAAAAAAAATGATATGAACTTACCAAAATCTCGGTAAAACATGGTTAAGAAAAAAAAAACATTAAGTTGAATGATTTGTAACACGAATTAAAAATGAAAAAATAAATTATCATTGATGCGATTTTCGATTGCAGAGACAGGCTCGTTCGTGTTACAGAGCAATCGAAAATCGCATCAATGGGACTTTTTTTTTCATTTTTAAGTTGAATGATTTTTTTTATTTGCTAAACTTCAGTTGAACGAGTTTTTTTTTATTCTAACGTCCAATTTATAACAAATTATTTTAAATATATAACATAATAATTTATAATAATATTATTTAAAAAAACATGGTGTCCGGCCGGTCGAACCGGTCACGACCGGCCGTCGGGGCCGGACGCCATTTGGGCCGTCCGGTTTCGGCGGCCGGACAACAATAATTTTTTTTTTTTACTTTTTTGAAAAAGATGCCAAGTGCAAAAATGTCTAAGGGGGCGGTAAATAATAATAAGGGGCGGTGAATAGTAATGCCCTTTTTATTTCTCTATTTGAAAATAAAATAAAGTTTATTTTTTATTGAAAACCCCACCACGAGAATTCCGATTATAGCCTTGGCTGCCCCTCGAATTCTCCATCTTGCCACATGTTCATGCTAGTCAATTGCTCCCACTGCCGTACGCGGTGCAGCTGCCGCCGGGAGCCAAATCCATCCGATGCGCTATGTGCCAGGCCGTCACGTCCACGCCACGCGCCACCACCGCCTTCTGAGCCGCCTGTCCCGCCTTATCCTTACTCGCATGCTCCCTCTGGACCTCCGCCCAACGCCCACGGCCGTAAAAAAGCTGTTATCGTCGGATATCGTATAGATACTCCCACCACGAGCTGAAAGGATGCATTAATGATGCTAAATGCATGAGACATCTTTTGATCAACAAGTTTCTCTTCCCTGAATCTTTGATTCTCATGTTAACTGGTAATAGGGCTGTTTCTGTTGCTTTTTTCATGGTGATTTATGTTATTACATATACAATTGAGGGAATTTCTTTCAGTGGGAACTTAAGGAGATGGGGTTCAGCTTCTTTTCTTTTTTAAAAAAAAATATATATATATACATAGGGTCACGCTCCGGTGAGAATGACTCTTAATGCGAGAAATAGGAATAAATCGTAACCATTAGATCGGATGATCTAATGGCTAAAAAAAGTCAAAATTATACCTTCATTAAGGGTATTGTAGTAATTGTACCACACACAAGTGGACCCCACTTCACATTAATAATTAAATCTGCCAACTACAAGCCCCATATGGTCAATATAGCGGGACCCACACCCCCACTCTCTCACCTACCCACCTCACCATCTGTCTCTCTCACACACGTACAAACACACACAACACACACCTCCCCCGATTCACAGTCGCCAGCGTCAAACCGTGAACAGCCGTCGTTCCTCCGCCGGAATCCACCCGCCTCCGCCACCTGAATCTGACCGCAACCTGCCTCTGAACTCTGCCATCAACACTGCGACCAGGCCGCCATGGCTGCTTCGTACGACAGCGACCTCCCCCGAGCCTCTACCCTCCGCCCTCCGCCGTCAACACAGCGACCAGCCCGCCACGGAAGCTGTTTCGTACGACGGCAACCTCCTTCGACTGTAATGTAGTGGAGCAGCCCGACATAAGTGGCTGCGCCGCCGTCTCACTCGACTACGACCAGCCCCGTCATGGCGGGTTGCCGCCGGAACCGAAGTAGCCTGCAACTAATAGACACGAAGCTTCCTCGGAGAAGACGAGATGTGTCGGGAGACTTGAGAGCCGCTGCCGAATCACCGGCGACGGGGAGTGTTATCGCCGGCAGGGGCGAGATGAGTGCAGACTTGTAGGAGAATGGGATTTGAATTTTAATTTAGGGATTTATTTTGAAAATTTGACAAGTTTGAGGGACTTATTTGCAATATCAAGAATTCTAATATATTACAATTTAAGCCATGGCCCAATTTGTAATTGATAAAACTACAATTAATATTATAATATTTTGATTTAATATTCAATATGTATATAATTATGATATTTTAATATTCAATATTTATATATTTGTGGCTGAAAATAATAATGATAATAATAATAATAATAATAATAATAATAATAATAATAATAATAAAATTTTATAATATAACAAAGTGCAGAGTGTTGTTCTATAAAGTGCAACGTGTTATTTTATAAAGTGCAACGTGATGAACTATACAGTAAATGAATTGCTGCAGTTTCGATAAAGTGCAACGTGTTGATTACACACAATTATGTAATAAAGCTAATAAATAAAAATATATTTTAATTATTTAGGTTAATTCAGTGTACGATTATATCTAGTATTCGAACACATACAATTTATTTTATTGTGTGAATGTATAAATTGGTGCACTTTATCTAGCGAATTGTTGAACTTTATAAAACAACATATTGCACTTTATAAAACACCACGTTGCACTTTGTCACCACGTTCCACAATTAATATCAACAACTCCCCCCAAAATATTACGCAATATAAATCTAATAAACGGATCAACATAAT